TATAGAGGCAAGACCAATACAACGTAGATAAGTTTTAAGATGGAGCACTATATTTCGGCTGGCCAAACCAGCCTTCTTCAGGTGCACTGGGAATTGACATAGAATTAAGGTGGTACTTAGAGAGCTATATGATGTAATAGCGGAAATGCGTAAAACTAAGTTGATTGACAGTGAGATAACAATTCAAAATAGAAATAGTAAACAAAAATAGAAGTAAAGTAGGATAAATTGAATAAATAAAATAACTAGGAGTAAGAATAGTGGAAGGAAAAACACTAATACATTTCTTCGCGAGCGTTAAGGCCATCGGGATAAATAGTATTGCCTCTTGAAATTAAAAAAGCTTCCCTGGCCTTGCGGATCGAGTCTCTCTTGGACAACACTTTTTCGATGGCGATAAGCTCCATATCGTGAGCAGAGTGGTTGGGAGAGGATAGGAAGTGTTCTACGACTGTAGTAGGTTTACATTTAGAGTCAAAAATTCTTTCCTTCCCTTTCCAAAGACTCCTGCTTCTCCGCGAGCAAAGTCCTTTCCATCTGAAACGATCTATCCTTTCCATCTAAATCAATCAAATTAAGGGGGAAAGATCATTGGCTTACTTGACACGACTGGCAAGAGATATTCCTATCGAGCAAGGCGAGTACATAATGGCCCGAGGGCGACGGTGTTCCTCAAAAATAACTAGCTAGGAAGCTGAATTGATGGAGTGTGCCAGATTCCACATGCCTTGAAATAATCGACTCCGTTCAGATCGGTTTATAGACGCCATTAATATATTACGTTTGCATACCTAGAATCTTTACGTAACTAACTAAATATATGTCCTCATGAAATTCATCTATCACTCTAAGCTAGAAACAGAAAACCTCAGAAGAAACCCCGAGTAGGACGTGCTTTCAGCGAGATAAAAAGTTTGCGGTCTAACGTTTGCATTCAAGTCTCCTCGGCGTTTTTTTTTTGTTTTGTTTTGTTTTTTTTATAGTCCATCGATACGTATCAAGACTTAACCAATCAAGATTTTAGTGTTCCATGACGTCTTTGTGTTTGGTTCGTGTTCTCCCATTATGAAGGAGTGATTCCTCCTAGACAGATATATTTTATCTCGAGGTAATCCTCAATTCCATACTTTGAACCTTCTCGCCCTAACCCGGACTGCTTCCAGCCACCAAATGGTGCGATTTCTGATGAGATAATTCCTTCATTTACTCCCACCATACCCACTTCCATGGCCTCAGCCACGCGCCAGATTTGGCTCATATCTTGGGAGTAAAAGTATCCTAAGAAGAAAAAAAATGGAAAAACCATTTGTGCAGACGAAGGCGGCGAAGTAAGGCTTTGGGGGGTGAAGTGGGGGCAAGGGAAGTGGGGGCAAGGGGCATTAGACCCCTAGATCAAATTATGGAAGGGGCATATGCCACTTACATCTTGAACAGCAGGCGTTCAAGGAAAACATACAGCGCTCTAGCTCAAGAAACAAACGCAATAGCCAACAACAAGCGCGGGATTGGAGAAAATTCTCTCAAGTACATTGTTGGGTTATCTCAACCGCACGGAGACTGGACTCGGGGCCGCAAGGTCTCATGGACTGTCTCGTCGTTATGTAATGGTTTTGTTTGCCACGTGTCGCGCTAAGCGAAAGTATAACATGTTTTATGTATGATTTAAAAGGGATTTGTCTAAGGATCAAGGGATGTGCCTAAGGATATTTGATGTTGGCGAGTTTATAACCCTATGTTTTAACAAGGCTGGACGAATGTAAGATTTATTGCCAGATTTGTCATTTAAATGAAAAGATCTCTACGTAATGTTTGTGATTTCGCAATCTCTACAGCTTCAGATTACATTCTCGAATAAATACTGAAAATTCAAGCCTTGTCAGCCGTGTTCTTCAATTACTCATCGGCCCATAAATGATTTTGCAACTTACGTACAACTCTGTATGTTACGTGTGCACAAGCTCATGCGTAGCACTGCCTTCACGGACCGAAGGCTCTGCTAGGTGGCGTGCAAAACTTCCTTCCAGAGGCAGAGGAAGAGGCCATCTGAACGAGGTGCGCGCGTGATTTGGATCGGTTGACAGGCTACAATGCCCTCGGGTGTGTCCGACCCTAACTTGCGCGTCTGAATGCTGGGTAAGTGGGCTATAACTTACCTTAGCCAATATAACCATTAAGTTTATTGAAGAAAATACGTATTTCACAATTGTCAGAATAAGTTCTGTGGTCTACTGATTTAAATTGAGTGTCCTGCAGCCAAATTCAAAGTACTTACAACGGCTAAACAAAAGAGAGGGAAATACCCCGAAGGACTAATGAGAACTCAAAATGAAAACAAGAAACAACGTGAAGCGCGGAAAAACGTGGGCAACAATTTGTGATTGGTTTAAGTTTTGCATCTATTAAAATTCAAATTCACCTGCTAATCCTGATGAGGTGTCGTTAGCTATTGCCACTGCCTCCTCTTCAGTCTTAAACCTGACAAAACATTCAGTTCAAATCA